AAATGGTGACATTTACAAGATTGAACTAAAAGTGAACTACTTGTCATCGTGACACAGCACACAACCATGTGACCTCTATCACCATAGTCAGCAGGGGGCAGCACAAGCACCCAGGCAGCAACTGGTGGACTCAAACCTCAAACCTTCTGGACTCAAGGCCTGGAGGTTCGACCAGTCAACATCTGGATTTGCAGGCGATCATTTTGAGCATCTGTCCTGTGTTAGTCAACAGCAGAGGGCGCTTGTGATCAGGAGTTGAAGCTAGCACGTTGTTAGCCTGGAAGTACCGTCCAGTGATGGAAGCTGCTCACTATAACACCTGCCACGGTACGGTTAGCTGTGTGGTCGACCTGGGAGGTGGGTCAGAACCCGGTGGGTTACATCCATCCAGACCTGGTGTGGGCAAACTATGACTCGCGGGCCACAATTGTTCTAAAACTGAACCGGGGGCTGGGGGGGCGGGGGTCAGGAGCAGACGGATGAAGCGTTCATGTGAAGTAAAAGCTAAAAAGCTAAAATGCTTTTATCATTTTCTACGCCATCTATTTGAGAAACATGGGTATTGCAGGGAAAAGGCAGACGTATAACGACAATATAAATGAATTATATAATTTGGAAAAGGTTTGACGGGCCGCATTAAAAAGCTGAATGGGCCGCAGCCGGCCCCCGGGCCTTAGTTTGCCCATGCCTGATCCAGACCGTAACGACCAATAAAACGACCCGTCGACTGGGAGATTACAGCAGAGTGTTGGGTTGGGTTCCCCAGAGGAAACTACACACTTGGCGCCTCCTGTGGGCGGACTGTTGAAGGACAGGTGCATTTTCAATAAAGGTCAATAAAGTTTCTAAAGTTAAAAAAAAAAAAGTTGTTATGAGAAGAAGATGAAGAAAATCAGAAAGGTCAGATCACCGACCACCACTGACCACCACTGACCATCACCGACCATCACTGACCATCACCCATCACCGACCATCACTGACCATCACCGACCATCACTGACCATCACTGACCATCACTGACCATCACTCCAGCTGACTGACTCATGAACAACGACATGGACTCATCATCTCTCCCACTCTCTCTCCCTCCCTCTCTCCCTCACCACCGTGCACTCTCGCCCCTCTCTCTCCTGTGTGTCTGCCAGACAGACACTCTGGATATAGCTCTGCTCATAAACACAGAGACAGAGGGGGGACG